CTCACCAGCAGGACAGAGGTGGCGGTAGATTGATATACAGTTGGGAGGGAGTTGCCCTAAGAGTCCTCAATATTGACGCTGGACCTCATGTAGTCTCATGACTTCAGGTTAAACATGGGCAAGGAAACCTCCTGATTAGCACATACTGTCCTTCCTCAGCTGACAAGTCAGATATTCTTCCATGTTGAATAAGGGCACCCAAAATGTACTCTGGGTGGAGGATTTCAATGTAAAAGAGTGGCTCGGCAGCAGTAGTACTGATTGAGCTTGCTGAGTCCTAAAGCACATTGATGCTAGATTGGGTCTGCAGTAGGTGATGAGGGAACCAATAAGAAGGAAAAACATACTTTACCTTATCCTTACCAATCTACCGGCTGCAGATGCATCTGTCCGTGACAGTATTGGTAAGAGCAACCAGCACACAGTCCTTGTGAAAATAAAGTCCTGCCTTCCCATTGAGAATAAACTCCATTGTGTTGTTTGGCATTATTACATAAATGGAACGACTTCAAACAGATTTAGCAACTGAAGACTGGGCATCCATGAGGCACTATGGGCCATCAACCCATAGACTCCAAGAAATAGACTCCAGCACAATCCCTAACCTCATGGCATGGCATATTCCACACTCGACCATTACCATCAAGCCATTGGATCAATCCTGGTTCGGTAGATGGCATGCTAGGAGCAGCACCAGGCATACCTGAAGGTGAGGTGTCAATCTGGTGAAGCCACCAAACAGGACTACTTGCAAACCAAACAGCATAAGCAGCAAGTGACAGACAGAGCTAAATGATCCCACAACAAATGGATCAATTCTAAGCTCTGCAGTCCTACCACTTCCAGTTGTGAATGGTGGTGGACAATTAAACAACTCACTGGAAGGGGAAGCTCCACAAAAGTACCATCCTCAATGACGGAAGAGCCCAGTGCAAAAGATAAGGCTGAAGCATTAGCAGCAATCTTCAGCCAGAAGTGCCATGAGGACGATTCATCTCGGTCTCCTCCAGTGGTCCCCAGCATTACAGATACCAGTCTTCAGCTATTTCGATTCACTCCATGTGATATCAAGAAGTGGTTGAACACGCTGGATATTGAAAAGGCTATGGGCCCCGACAATGTTCCAGCAATAGTACTGAAGATTGGTGTTCCAGAACTTGCAGCTCCCCAAACCAAGCTGTTCCAGGACAGTTGCAACACTAGCCTAGTGGTATTATCTCTAGATTATTAATCCAAAAACTCAGCTAATGTTCTGGGGACCTGGGTTCAAATCCCACCATGGCAGATGGTGGAATGTGAATTCAATAAAAAAAATCTGAAATTAAGAATCTACTGATGACCATGAAATCACTGTTGAATGTCGGAAAAATCCATCTGGTTCACTAATGTCCTTCAGGGTAGGAAATCTGCCATCCTCACCTGGTTTGGCCTACATCATCAGTAAAGTGATGGAAGGTGTCATCAACAGTGCTATCAAGCAGCATCTGCTCAGCTTGGGTTCCACTAGGGCCACTCAGCTCCTGGCCTTATTAAAGCCTTGGTTTAAACATGAACAAAAGAGCTGAATTCCAGAGGTGAGGTAAGAGTGACAGCCCTTGATATCAAGGCTGCATTCGACCAAGTGTGCCATCAAGAAGCCCTAGCAAAACTGGAACCAATGGGTCTTGGGGTAAATGCTCCACTGATTGGAGTCACACCTGGCCCATAGGAAGATGGTGGTGGTTGTTGGAGGTCAGTCGTCTCAGCTCCACGACATCTCTGCAGGTGTTCCTCGGGTGGGCCCAGCCAACTTCAGCTGCTTCATCCATCATAAGGTCAGAAGTGGGGACGTTTGCCGATGATTGCACAACGTTCAGCACCATTCACAACTCTTCAGGTACCGAAGCAGTCCATGTTCAAATGCAACAAGATCTGGACGATATCCAGGCTTGGGCTGGCAAGTGGAAAGTAACATTCGCACCGCACAAATGCCAGGCAATGACCATCACATTAACAGACAATCTATCTACTGCTCCTTGACATTCAATGGTGTTACCATCACTCAGTTCCTCACTATCAACATCCTCGGTGTTATCATTGACCAGAAACTCAACCGGGCTCACCACATAAACACAAGAGCAGGTCAGAGGCTAGGAATATTGTAGCAGGTTCTGCTATACCACATGTTCCAGCAACGCAAATTGGCTATAAGAAGACTGACAAATAGGGGAACACTGTTTCTAAAATGTGAACTTGTGTTGGCTATAATGTGATTCCATTGGTGTGCGGAAGAGTACATGTCGATATCACATGATCGTTTTGTGGGCTTTGTCCTGAGTACACACAATGTTAGCATCGAAAGGGTCTCTGCGCTAGCATCATGTGATCATTTCGCAGACTTTATCGTGAAGCACTTTCTGTGAGACGTACAATACTCCATGATTTTCATTTTGTTTTGCAAACTCTGTCATGTTACCCACAAAAATGCGAGGAAAAAGTGACAGGAAAGTTAGCAAGAATCATCCTGGTGATAAAATTGCGGGTGATGAACATAAAAGAAAGGCTGTAACATTGGACTGTAACACAGTGTTATCCTTTGTGTTAGGCTTTTGAGTGATTTTTGAGCAATTTTGAGTGATATTTTTGGTGGTCTGCCCCTAACTCTGCTTTTCCCATAGGCCCTGTTATTTCTATCGCACAATTTTCCATAACGTGATGTTGTGCAGGAATGCAACTATCGCTTTATAGCAGAACCGAATGTAATTCACCTCTTGACTCTCCAAAGCCTGTCCACCATCTCCAAGGCATAAGTCAAGAGTGTGATGGAACATTCCCTGCTTGCCTGGAAGAGTACAGCTCCAACAACACTCAAGAAACTTGACACCATCCAGGACAAAGCAGCCCGCTTGATTGGCTCGACAACAACAAGCAACCATTCCCTCCACCACCGATGCTCAGTAGCAGCAGTGTGTACTATCTACAAGATGCACTGCAGAAATTCACCAAAGATCCTCAGACAGCACCTTCCAAACCCACAACCACTTCCATCTAGAAGGGCAAGGGCAGGTGATACATAGAAACACCACCTCCTTCAAGTTGCCCTCCAAACCAGTCACCATCCTGACTTGGAAATGTATGGCCGTTCCTTCACTGTCACGATGTCAAAATCCTGGAATTCCCTCCCTAATGGCATTGTGGGTCAATGTACAGCAGGTATATTTTTCTTCATCTGAGGTCTATTCATTTGCTGCCACTTATAAAATCCCCCTGTGTTCCCACTGTTCGTCAGTATGGCCTCAGGACGCACATTTGGTCTCAGTGGCAGGACTCACCACACGCCTGTAATCAAAAGGAACTCAGTGGTAGAGAAGGCCATTCAATCTATCATGCCTGTGCTGGCTCTTTGTAAGAGCGGAATAATTAGCCCCACTTTCCAGTTCTTTCTCCATTGCCCTGCAAATTATTATATAGATCAAATTCTCTAATGAAAGTTATTTTGAATCTGTTTCCTCCTCCCTTTCAGACAGTGCATCCAGATCATTTGCAAAGAGACCGTCTCCTTGTTTAGTCCCGTAATTAGTGCAGTGTCTTGCTGGGCTGCATTTTCTCTCAATGTTTCACAGGAAGAGCATTGTATTTTAATAAATCTGTTCCCTTTCCTTACTGACCCATCGAAAAACTTAATGATGTGTTGCAGCTTTTTAATTAATGGTCCTCTGGGAACGACAGCTTTCTTTGTTTTTTAAAGCATGACTAATTAGAGTTAGTTCTTAAAGAAATCGTTGAGATATTGATTTAATAGTCTATATATTTAGGTACGAGTAGAACATCTTAAAGGAGATTTTTTTTCATGCTCTTGAAATGACTTGTTGTTGGATCCATACAGCTTTTTCCAAACATTTAAGGGTCAGTTACTCAATCTGACTCCTGCAGTGTGCTGTGGGACACGAGGCCAACAGAAGTGGCTACTGTGACCCCTGATCATAGACCAGAATGGCAGGGTAAACCAGATGGGCTTCCTGTTTTTTTATATTTTATGCTAATACATTTACTTTTTGAAATAGAGGGTTGCAGATCAAGTCTTACTCCAAACAATTCAAAACTGGGACACTCCCAGTGCAATATTGAGGGAGTGCAGCACTGTCACAGGTACCTTCATTCAGACAGGATGTTAAACCAAGGCCCTCTCTGGCTCTTTAAACGGATGCAAATGATCCCATTTTTCTTTTTGAGGAAGAGAAGTTTTTTTTCCCCTCAGTGTCCTAGCAAATATTTAACAGTCAACAAATTTAAACGGATTATTTGGTTTTTATCACACTGACTTTGTTGGAAGCTCGACTTGCACAAATTATCTGCTACATTTCTTATATTGCACCAGTGACTATGCTTCAAAAGTATTGCATTGGCTGTGATGTGCTTTGAGACATTCCGCAGTCAGGGAATAAGTATCACCTTGCACAACAGGGTGAATTAGTCCAGCTCACCTTCAAAAGAAGCCATGGGATCTTTTATGTTCACCTAACAGGGAACCAAAAATTTAAACTTACCTTTTCACGACAAGGCTTGGAAGCTGGGAAGTATAATCAGTGGACTGAATTTTACCAGATATCAGCTGTGTCAATTTTAAAGAATTTCATAGAGGGCTCCTATGATTCTTTTCATGGAGAGCTTCAGTGAATTTTCTCATGCTGTCATCCCAAACTTTCCTTATTACCAATGCATCATGCAAGATTCATCATGTTTGAAAGAATCATTTGGAATTCAAAGTTTCAGAGCCCTATACACTTAGCTAGATCTTTAGTCTTTCACCACTATGGACAAGACACACAAGTTTCATTCTGTAACTATGATGCTTTATCAAGTTTAATTATTAAAAATAGCATTGGAGACAAAGAAAAAGAATGCAAATCTGATCATATGATGTTAAATTTGGCAAGAAAATACATCAGATAAAGAAAGAATTCAGTGCAATTGACATTGTGGCAACCATCTTTGAGAAAGTTAAAAATACATCATTGTACCTTAGTAGTTGAAGCCACTTTGAGGAAACCTCTAAAGAATACACCAAGAAGGGACACCGGATCCAAAACGTTGGCTCTGCTTTCTCTCCACAGATCCTGCCAGATTGCTGAGTTTCTCCAGCAATTTCTGTTTTTGTTTCTGATTTCCAGCATCCACAGTTCTTCATTCTTTTTTGGATAGACTGGGGTTGTTTTCCTTGGAGCAGAGGAAATTGAGAGATGGGGTGGCATATAAAATTATGAGGGACATAGACAGAAAAAAACTTTGCCCCTTGGTGGAGGGATGAATGACTGGGAGTGTAGATATGAGAGAGGGCAGGAGGTTTGGAGGAGATGTGAGGAAGGATTTTTTCACCCCAAGGGTGGTGGGAGACAGAAACCCTGTTAATATTTAGGGTGTCTTTAGAAGTACCTTGTGATCTTGAGCCATACAAGCTATAAGCCACATGCTGGAAATTGGAATTGGAATAGTTAGGTGGTTGTTTTTGATTGGTGCCAACTTGATGGGCTGAAGGCCTTTTTCTGTGCTGTAGCCCTATGTGACGCAAGAGTTTAACCTTACAATGATTTCACAGTGCATTTCAGGAATCCGTATTATAGGAGGGATATGATAACACTGGAGAGGGTGCAGAAGAGATTTACCGTGATGTTGCCTGGGCTGGAGAGTTTTAGTTTTAAAGAGAGATTGGATAGACTGGGATTATTTTCCTTCTTCTGAGGTGCAGCTTAGACTTATTTCAGAACTTAAATGCTAAATCAAGGTTAACCCCAGTGCAGTACTGAATTCAGAGGTGATAACAAAGAGAAAATATATTGGAGTCTATATCACACCATCAACCCATCTAAGAAGATCATTTTTATTCAAAGTAAATGTAGGATGAAAGTGCTGACAGAATTTAGGTATTTGTCACTCAGCAAATGGATCCATTTCATAAAAGAACACTAGGGGGCACTCAGGGTATGTTTTACACATTCTTGATGCTTTATAGAAACTTGGCATTTTGTTCTGGACTTGCACAGAATTAAGTAACAGATGTTCCTGCCATGTGTCACATTGGAATACCTCATGTACGTTTACAATTTCACATGTTAGATTTAGGCTGTAAATGGACTAAATGTGTAGCATGTTAATGCTTGTATATTATCTGATTGCAGATATATTTAAAATGCATGTTCGGCATTTTTTGAAGTGTGACAGTTTCCCATTGGTATTGCTGTGTTAATTTAACAGCTCCTATAAACTGTAAACACAGCTATGCTTCAGTCACTTGGGCTGCATGACTGAGACTCTCATTAATTCACAAGTGAAACTGCCTTGAGTACCTTTTTTACAATAATCATCAGTAAAATCTGTCAAATATATGAAAATATCTTGCTCTATGTGCAATTTTAGCAAATCTTTTCCAACATAAATCCCGATGCACTCGCATATAATGGAAACTGTTATATAAAAATTGCTGGCCTGTAATTACATTCTTCACCCATAATGGAATAAGAAAAATAAGGGAAGAGTGCTTGGATTTAAAATAGGGATTATATTAGACTTATGTACTGAGCTTTAATGATTTTGTGCCTTTTCACCACTTCAGTCAAAGACTACACTTAATCTCTCATGCATGGGGCAATGGGAAAGCAGCTAGTAATGTCTGAAACATTTTAAGTCAGCTTGTTCTTTCATTCAGCATTTTCCATGATAAATTCCTGCATTTACATTTATAACAGAATCTGCCTATGTATACCTTCCCTGCTGTATTTACCCACTTCTGCAATGATTGTACAAAAACAAAGTTGTTGGAAAAGCTCAGCAGGTCTGGCAGCATCTGTGAAGAAAAAAATCAGAGTTAACGTTTCGGGTCCGGTGACCCTTCCTCAGAATG